CATATTCTTTGCTTTACTAGCATTTCTCTGTGTACACACACACACACACACACACACACACACACACACACGCCCACAGCAGTCTTAATATCAGTGAACACATTTTAAAGGGACAACTTAAAACAGAAACAGAGAATGTTGGAATTTGCTATGAGAAGGAAGTTCAGGTGGCTGGCATGCCTACACTTCTGCCAGGCTGCTGCAACGGCAGCTTGCAGGTCCTATCGTGCAGCTCCCATCTTTGCTAAGTCATGCCCCACTGCCCTGAAGTAGGGAATAGGTGGAGACACACAGCTAAGTATGTCCCCTTGGCAACAGGGACTCACACTCTGGATAGGAGGTGATCCACATATCCATAGCTTTATTTGAAAGCCTCCCAAATCAACTGTCAAAGCATCAGTAAGGAAGATATAAGGATGAGGAGGTTAGGCTGGCAGGAAAATAGAGATCTATAACCAGTGGATTCTACAATGCTGCTAACATCAGGTCGAGTCAAAGGCTTTTTCAGTGAGCTCCCCTTGGGCATATATTAGTCATTTTGGAGAAGAGAATTAACTGTTCTGAATCATGGGGGCATGTGTTAATAAACTAAAGCCTGTAATCACAGTAAGGTGAATTACAGTAGGTGATGTTGGCCTTAAACATCCTCTACAAAATGGCAACACAATTCTGATCATATATTTACCTATTAACTAAAAATGTGTTACCTTGTACATTTTCTTTGGTGGGGGAGGCATGATATTTTCTACTAAAGATCTCCAAAAAACTTACCATATATACTCGAGTATAAGCCGACCCAAATATCCGCCGAGGCACCTAATTTTACCACAAAAACTGCATTAAAAATGTGCTGAAAAACTTGGCTTACACAGGCATATATATGGTATTATAGGAAGGTTTTGATGGCGGCTGGGTGAGGGCACAACATTTGGTTTCTTTTCTCTATAGGCCATCTTCTCATAAAACTTATTTTCATGTCTAGCTCTAAAAAGCTGTGACAATGGAATGGAAAGAAGTATGACGGTAGTTTGAACAGAATGTAAAAGCCATCACCTTGCTGTTCTTCCCCTCTGGTAGGCAGGGATGTGGAGAGGGAAGTAAAGAACATCCGAGAGCTCAATCTACCTTTAAAAACAGCAGACCACAGCAGCATGCTGAAGCTTAAAGTCAGGTGTAACTTACTATTGTGGCAGAGACCCTACAGGCAACAGAACCCCTGCCATTTTCACAAGCAGGTATCTGGTTGAGGCCCTTACTGTGACCACTGTATGTTTTGGTGCCTTTCAGCTAGGGGGCTCATTTTCCAGCACTCTGTTGGGATCCATTAAAATTTCCATAGGCTGATTTTGGGAAATGAGTTGCCAGACCTTTCTTCCTAATCTATCGTAGTCTGGAGGATCTGCTGCAATCTGTTTAATAAGGGTGACGCTGCTCGTGTTGAAATACCAATAGGCTATCTTCCAGCATCAGAGCAAAATGCAAGCCACCACAGTATGAAAAACTGACAGATGAGTGGTACACAGTGACTCAGACTGCATCGAGTTCAGTGCTTCTCAACCCCTAATGCTGTGACCCTTTAATTCAGTTCCTCATGTTGTGGTGACCCCCCTACCATAAAATTATTTTTGTTGCTACTTCATAACTGTACTTTTGTTATCAATTGGGCAACCCCTGTGAAAGGGTCATTCAACCCCCAAAGGGTCGCAACCCACAGATTGAGAACCGCTGATCTAGTTGAACCCCTTTATTTGCAGATAAAGGGGCTGAGGTCAAACATCAATCTCCTATTACATGACGATTTGCTTTACTTAGTGATCAGAGTGAGGGAAAGAACATAGTCAAACGTCTCTTCATTTGTTGTCAAAGGCTCATATAATAAAAGGACGGTAGAAGATAAAAGTATAGAAGATGAGGATTTCAGGCAGGTGTAAGAGATCAAACTTGTGTTAACTTGCACACCTGCCCCAGGTGCTCCACTCTATACTTCACACGCATTCATATAAAATCCTTTACCAAGCTAAAGTTGTCGCTTTGTCTTTTTCATTTCATTTTTTTTTAATATAAGAAATTCCTTCCCCCCAAACAAAAGGATTGCATATTTCTAGCTTTATAGTAGAGTAGCATATGGAATGCATGGATGTGGTTGATTCTGAAGGAATTCCAAAAGGAAAAAAGGTGGGCTGGGGGTAAGGGTAGGTTTCATTGGGAATATAGTAATTGTTCATTAAGGGTTAATTTAAATACTGCTCAATTTTCTGCCCACTTTTTGTGAAAATAGAAAGCTGAAAAGAATTAGTAGTTCTTCAAGCAGCAGCTACTTGCATTGAAACGGTGAGAATAATGTTGTTGTACCTCTTTCTTCTCTTCAGAAAACCAGCTGGTGTCTGTGTTTGAGCCCCGGGGAGCTATGTGAAGATCCACCAAGACAGCAAAGTTCCCACACTGAAAGACAAAATGCCAGAATCACTCCCATAAGATTGACACCCAGCAAGCACTGAGAGAAGAGCTCACAAAGTTCCATGTGGTCTCACAGTGGAGTGGCAACTCATTTCCCAACCACCCAATTTTCAGGGATAGCAGTATTAATACGGGACAGGGCTATGCGTCATAACCTATCACTCCTTTTTTGCAAATGTAGACTTTGTTGTGTAAGGAAGCAGCTCAGAAATCCAGTAACAACTGGAAGACTGTCAACCATTGACAAACGTTAACTAAGCCTGTCCAAGGCAGGCTCTAGAAAAGAATCACTGCTTGGTAGGAAAGAACAGATAGGAACTACTGCTTATTTAGACAGAGAAGGCATCTTAGAATGACAATGGAAGCAAGGATGAATGGGAAAGAACAAGGACAGAAAGGTAAATGCTGGACAGTTATCAAAACTAAGCAACATTTTATCAAACTATGCTACAGAACCATCTTCTGCTCTCATGCTACAACCCCAGCAATGGTCAGCAGTTTTGAAAGTGAAAGTGTTCATCTCTGGGTGAAAATAGCCACATTAGCTACATGGAGCTATTAGCACTTAAAATGCGGCGACTGCAAGTGAGAAGTCCATCTTCAAAACTTTATTTCTTTTTAATTGGTTTAGGTTAAATTTATACAGCCACATGTGGCTACTGGCTACTGTGCTCTGGGTAGCATAGCTAGAGAGCCTGTAAAAAAATTGATGCCTTGTAAATCCACACACCCCACTAGAGATTTCTGAAAATGCCAAGGTAGCTGCACATACTGGCTCAGAAAGGACTAAAAGAACAAGATTGAAGCTATGGGTACTTAATCCTCATAGTCCTCAGGGCTCAGTTCATAGCCCGAAATGAAAAAAAAAAAAAAAATCACATAGTTACCTCTTCAGCTGAAGAGGGTTTGCTTGTTTGTTGCTTGAATTTTGTGTAATGATGCAATAGACAATAAAATATTTTCAGTAAATACTGTTAGAATGCTAGATATCTGGGGGTGGGGCTAGAAAAACTTAACACCTACCTCACACCATAAACAAAAATTATTATTCCTTCTTTCTGAGATAGATCACAGATCTAAACATAAAAGCCAAAACGATCTTCACTTTGTGGTAGGAAAAACTTTCTTAGTGACAACCCAGAAAAAAACTAGCTAAAGAAGAAAATGTTAAATTGGATCTTATTAAAATTCAAATCTTTCTTTCACCAAAAGACATTGTTAATATAATGAGTGTATGCCACAGATTAAGAGAAAATATTCACTATTTCACTATATATATATATGACAAGAGAACTGATATCCAAAATAGGTAAAGAACATCTATTAGCAGGATCACTGAAGACAAAATGGGTGCATAAACAAATGTAGTGAAGAAAGCTGATGGTGCCTGGCTATCAAAAGATATAGCATCTGTGGTCTTAGAGGCTTGAAGATAAACAAGCGGCCGTCTAGCTGAGAAGCAACAAAGTCCACCTGGAAGAAGCACACCAGCCTGTGTGATCATGAGGTGTCGAAGGGATCAGTTATCAGGCATCAAAGAACAAAAAAATCATATCATTGTGAATGAGGGGGAGTGCGGAGTGGGGACCCAAAGCACATCTGTAGACAGTTGGACATCCCCTTACAAAAGGGTCACAAGGATGAGACAAGCCAGTCAGGGTACAGCATAGTACCACTGAAGCATACAACTTTCCTCTAGTCTAGTTCTTTAATGCTTCCTCCACCCCCCCACCCCCCACTATCATGACCCCAATTCTACCTTTCAAATCCGGCTAGGCCAGAGCATGTACACAGGTA